GAGATGATACGAGAAATAAAAAATATCGCGTTACATGTTTTGCTCTGTATTATTAAGTATCAACGGCCCAACAAGAAAAAAACACTTTTCTTCTTCTAAGTTCTATCCATAGGCCTCGTATAAATCTAGTTTCAGACATTTTTCTTCTCACTTTCTTAAAACTTCTAAAAGCAGTTCCGTCCCTGCTGTGGAAGAACAGGCCGCCGGAAAAACCGTACAACCCAACTCTGATCTCAATAAAATGGGAACCCAAGAAGGATCAAAGACGGTTTCAAATTCTCCGGCGAGAAAGGAGAGAACGGTGAGGTATGGGGAGTGTAGGAAGAACCACGCGGCTCACATCGGTGGATACGCAGTTGATGGGTGTCGAGAATTCATGCCTGCTGGAGAAGAAGGAACCAGTGCTGCCCTCAAGTGTGCTGCCTGTAATTGCCACAGGAACTTCCATAAAAGGGAGGTGGAGATCGAGAGTTTCCGTGACTGTTCATCAAATTCCATGGCTTATAAATAGTTAAAATTCTTATGGTATTAGTGATCTACATGTTGATCTTGTTTTGTGGGTTTGAAATATGATAATAGGTTTGAGATAAGGTCTGTTAGATCGAATATTCATATGTGGTTATGCTTTGATTACCATGTTTGCTGCCTCCAGATGAAAATTTCTTTGTTTTTACTTTTCTTTTGCAGGATAATGATTCAAAAGAAAACACCGACATGGTCGAACATAAAACCTTTTCAGTCTTCACTAGGATAAAGAGATGAAACGACTCTCTTGTATCTRTAACATATTTACTCTCATTCAGGAAGGAGAAAAATGAAAGGGATCCGAAAAAGACGGAAAAGGAAAAGATGCATCTGTAGGAAATGGGTTTCTTTTGTAACTCTGAGAAACTAGCTCTTCTTACGTAAAAAAAAAAATAAAAAAAAAAAAAATGTGTGTAAGTTGTAAAGATTATTGTGTTCGCATTAATGAATCTTTTGTTTGGAATTTGGTTTAAGGAATTTGTTGTTTTATTGGTACTCTCAGTGGACTCGGATCTCAGGATCCTACCCACATCACACTACAGCTGTACATTGTATTTAAATATTATATATATATTATTTTTTTATTTATATATATCTATTATGGTTTGTTGATCAATGAAAATGGAAAAAATTCCTTAAAACAGTTTTTATCCCACCCATGTATACCATTCCTTCCTTCTGATATCATTATTATTTAAAGGAATTCTAATCATTGTGTGGTGTAACAAAGAAAGAGACATTAATCCACTTTTTTTTTGGGTAAATTGCTGAAACCTTCCTTGAGAAATGAAGTTTCTAACCGTTGCTAAAACTTCTCCCGGCGTCTAGAGTGGTAATTGCAATCACTTCTATTGAACTTTCTGATATAGTTGTAAGTAGATCCCCTCTAGGGTACAAAAATGTCTTAAATACCCATGCAATTACTTGATACTGCAGGAAAAAAAAACAGAAAACAATACAATCTTTATGAACAATAAAAGAATAGAGTTTAAAGTTGCAACTTTACCTTTGGGCCATTGATATGAAGGCTGAATTTGGAAAATAAATCAATCTTGGAAGGGAGATGGGAAGGGTTTGGGGTAGCGATTCATATGAAGAGAAAATTTAGAAAATAAACATTTTGGTCAAAAGTAACTATATGAGTATTTTGGACATTTTCATACTTCTTGTTAGAGGATTCTAAATGAGGGGTTCTACTTGCAACTTTGTTAGAAAGTTCAGGAGTGATTACAATTATCAAACTTCAGGGAAGGTTTCAGAATACTCCCCCGGCCCCCCTTTTCTGCTTCATGGGACTACACAAACAGGGGTAGTCCATTCCCTTCCCTTAACCCTCTCCCCCAAAAAAAAGAAAAAATTGATCCCAAATTTCTACTCTGACAAATCAAAGAACCTACCTTGGGTCCAATAAGTTTTGCTTCTTTCGTTGGGATGGATCTTTCATCACATGGTACTACCATGTGCTTTTTGGTTCTAATCTATATGAGACAATTGGTATGAAATCAACGTCTATTTAGTAAATGCAATGGAACCCATTTAGGAGACTTTCGTGGACCAGGATCCATGTTCTCAGATGACAATGACCATCGAATTAACTTCTCATTAACGATTACTGCTCTTCTTTGTAATTGATTCAACCGGTTAATTAGGTTGTAAAGTGATCCAATTAAGCTAATTTCTAGCTAAGAAAGTCGACTCCAGATCTCCTCTCCACAAGAACTCTGCCCACAAATTGATAATTCGGATTTGCTCCTTACAACGTCAACCTCACAGTGCATCGCAAGCTGTGCATTGAAAAGTACCTTCCAATAAATGGTAAATGATGATATCAATTTCCGAAGATGTTCTCAATGTATGGCTAAGATGCATTGTGAGTTTGGTGTGAGGCGTACTCTTGTGACGAACAAATCTGATCTCACAAATTTGGAAGTGGGATCTGCTTCTCACAAATGGGCGCCTCACAGGCACATCCACCATGCATTGAGAACATCTCCCATGAATAATAATTAATAAATACGGGAGATATTTCCAATGATGTGCGTGTAAGGCACCTGTGAGGCGCCAGGTGAGAGTAGCAGATCCGGACTTACAAATTTGAACACTTTGAAGACACAAAGATATGTACGACCGGCATGGTAGGTGTCACGGGCTATTTTTATTTTTCTTGTATACATCACGGGCCAATAACAAGGACCACTCCTTGGGGTTGGGGTCACAATTACGCAAAGTGAAGCAGCTGAAAGGAAAGAGGAAATTTTGGGAGACAAATGGCGGACACAAAGCTCACTTTCACCAATAAGCCAAGGGCCTTAGCCCACTTTATTCCTTTTACATTCGTGGGAATTCACTAACTTTTTTAGGTCATACATATATGATATGAACTGTTGTCTTCAACTATCTATAACAGCTAACAAATTAATTATACCTTTGTGACTGAATGGCATCTGTGAGTAGTGGCATCTCCAAAGCAGCCAAGAAGTTGTTCATAATAAGTAGTTTAAAAGGAAAAAAGCGAACAAGGTATACTGCCACACTTTGCCCTAAGTTTGGAAATTTAGCTCAGTTTGGAAAGGATACAAATAGAGTACAAAATCTTGTGTTATTTTATATATATTTGTACTGTATATATTTGTATTTGTATTGTTTTCAAACTGAGCTTTAGGTCATTTGTGGGGATTTGTAGCCAACTATCACGAATCACAATTCAACATAAACCAAAATTTAGGCCCACCAAATTAACATCTGGTATTGGAGACCGGATCTGCTCCTCACCGAGGGCGTCTCATACCGACCTCACAAACACATCCCATCATGCATTGGGAACATCTCCTGTATTTATACGTTATTATTCATGAGATGTGTATGTGAGATCGGTGTGAGGTGCCCTGTGTGAGGAGCAGATCACTAGTCTGGCTGCGATCCCAACATCCAGGTGGTGTCTAATGTAAATTGTTTACTAGTAGACCCTGTTCATCGACCATCTCGGATCTGATTTTATACTATGACGGGTTTAGGCTTTGGGTTGGGTTCATTCAAATTTTGGCAAAAAGTAAAATCCGAGCCCGTGCATGAACAGGTCTATTTACCAATTCCAGTATCAATTTAAAACCATTTGATTTGAAAACAAATTAATTCTTGCTTAATTAAAGGTGTCCACTATGTGTTGGGCTTTCTCAATCATGTCGTGCTTCCCTTTTCAAGTGGGAATCAAACTCTTTTGGCTCCTTCCTTTTAGGACCTTGGGATCTCCGTTATGGGCCCGCGCGTAGAATCTCATCACAGGTCGGTCCACCGGGAGAGACTCCTGTCTTCCCTTGCCCTTGCCCTTGCGTACAGACCCTATTGTGGCAATCGCGTGGGTGATTTATCCAAGAGATCACCCGAACTCTCCTAACACCTTTCTCGGTTGAAAATTGAATGCCTTTACTTCAATTCATAGCTCCTTAAATAGGAGATTACAGAAGGAAACTCCTTGTTGGATTCCGCTAGGCTAGGGTAATCCAACTTAAACTCAAACTCCTAATTACCTACTCCTAATGGTAACACAACTCTTACTTAAGATAAGATAAGATAAGGATAAGGGATGAGGAATGGAGTAGCTAGCGGCGAGTTGGTGAGCAGAGCTGATGTGGTAAGATAAGTGTGGACCCACCCTGATGAGCTATCGTGTGGGTCCCACCGTACTGCTACTGTCGGGCGGCGCGCGCGTCTCACAGTGCTGCTATCGTGTGGTGTGTGCTGCTGCCCAGTGCTATTGCCGTGCGGCACGTGCTGCTGCCCAGTGTTGCTACCGTGCGATGCGTGCTACGCGCTGCTGGGCGATGCATGCTACGCGCTGCTGGGCGGTGCGTGCTATGCGCTCCTAGGCGGTGCATGCTATGCGCTACTGGGCGGTGCGTGCTGCTGTGCGGCGCTGCCGGGCAGTGCGTGCTGCTATGCGTACCGCTGCCTATGACTACGCCGCAGTGTGATGCCGGGCGGTGTGTCCATAACATCACACCCCTCCTGGACTACGAGCTTGTCCTCAAGCTCGAGTTCGGGGTAGGCGCTGTGAAGATCGGTCCAGGGAATCCAGGTGGCCTCAGCTGATGGTAGTCCATCCCATTCCACTAGAACCTTGAAGGTACCCTGATTGATGCGTGATCGTAAAAGAGCCCGAGGTTGGAGGATGGGTCTGCCGTCCTTTAGAGGTGGTTGGGGAGGGACTTGGTCCGGGGGAGTCCCTGTAAAAGGCTTCAGGAGGGACACATGGAAGATGTCATGGATTCTGCTGTGCTCCGGTAGCTCGAGTTGATAGGCAACCTTCCCGATCTACCTGAGAACCTTGAAGGGCCCGTAAAATTTTGGGGCTAGCTTGGGGGGGCCTCGACGCCTGAAGGTGACTTCGCGGTGGTGCTGATCGTTGGCGTGCTTCATGTGCACCTGTGCCTGCTGTAGGCGCAAGGAGATTTCGGCCAGGAGGGCGTCGCGATCTTGGAGGTTGCGATCCACTTCTTCCATCCGTGTTGAGCCTGGTTCGTAAGATAAGAGACGGGGAGGATCTCGGCCATATACCACCCGGAAGGGAGTCATGCCAAGGGAGGAGTGGTAGGACGTGTTATAACAGTATTCGGCCCACGGAAGGCACTCCACCCAGCACCTAGGCTGGTCTCCCACAAGGCAGCGGAGGTACATCTCTATTGTCCGGTTCACCACCTCTGTTTGGTCGTCAATCTGTGGATGGTAGGTGGAGGAGAAGGCTAGGTCTGTTCCCTGCAGTCGGAAGAGCTCCTTCCAAAAGGCGCTGGTAAAGATCGGGTCCCTATCACTTATAAAGGATTCGGGTAGCCCATTCAATCGGAAGATGTGGCCGAAGAAGACGTGGGCCACTGAAACCGCGCTATAGGGGTGAGATAAGGAGAGGAAGTGGGCATACTTTGAGAAGCGGTCCACCACCACAAATATCACTGATTTCCCTCCCACCTTGGGTAAGCCTTCGATGAAGTCCATGGAAATATCTGCCCAGATCTGAGTGGGGAGGGCGAGGGGTTGGAGAAGGCCTGTTGGGTGCAAATTTTCCCACTTCTGCTGCTGGCACGTTGAACAGTTCTGAATGAAGTTCCGTATCAAAGCCTTCATGCCCTGCTAGTGGAAATCTGCATGGATGCGGTGCAGTGTTTTCTGGATACCCTCATGCGTGGCATTGTGTATGTTGGAGATAACGGAGGGAATTAAGGGGCAGTCGGTTGGAAGATAAATTCAGCCCTTGTACAGTACCAACCCATCCTACATGCTCCAATTGGAGTTGGCCGTTCCCGCCAATATCTTCTTGAGCAGATCGTTCCATTCGGGTGACTATGGTAGTTCATTCTGAATGTCTTTCAGCAGGGAGGCTCAGGGCTGTGAGACTGCATGGAGTAGCATGTCGTCTTCTCGACGGTTCAAGGCCCTAGCCTTGTAGTCTACTCGGAAGTCGAATCCAAGGAGTTTGCTT